AACAGTTGCGAACCGCGCACAGGGGATGACAGCATAAGGCTTCTTAGCTTGAGGTTAGAAATCGCCCATCGTGCTGTGGCCCGCAAGAATCCAGCTAAGCCATCGCCATTCTCAACTTGCTAGAACCGTGTCAAGGCTGCCAGCGTCATCGAAATCGTCACCAAATTTGAATGCCATGTTGCGAAGCGGGTTTTGCCTCACTTTTGCCACTAACTCTTGTTTTTTGTTGTGTGAATATTTGTTAACAACAAAAGACATTCTTGCCTGAAAATATATGGTTCTAGTTGTTTGTTTTTTTTTTCAATCACAAGTTTCTCAGATTTGATAATTATATAAGTGATTATTTACAGCTGCAATGCATTAAATTTAATTAATGATGTGCTGATTTCTATAATAATCAGCTTGGAATGCAACTCGATGTTCCCATATAATGGCATTTTTAAACAAATTTTAGAGTTCGTTTTATATGGCACCTTTCCGATAATAATAATAATAATGAAATTCTAAAAAAAAGGAAAAATAAATTGTATTTCATTATAGCAACTTGTTTGTATTTCATAATGAAATGGATTTTTACTCGTATTATTATTCATTTTACGAATACCCTTGATTTAATAATATGCCTCATACTACACAGCCGGGTAACATTTAGTGACAGCTGCTTCGTCCCGTTCGGTTTCCATGGTGAACTGGCAGTCGGAGGCTGCTTTTAGTTGTTGTTGTTGAGCTCGCTTCTTAATGAATCTTTAGTTGGCAGCATCAAGTGAAACTGCATTTTCTTACAATGTCGCAGTGCACATTAGTTTTTCTTAATCTGACATAAGGCCAACCGGCGTTAGCGCGTCAACGTTGCGTATGAGTAACGTAATTGATTCTGGAAATTAGCAGCAGTTGATGTTAACGTCTCTGCCTGCTATCGCACAAATCTCGAAGGCTGCGAAGGCTGGAGTTCAAGTTGTATCTTCCATAAATTAAGCAACCTTATTGCTTGCGATCCCAAAAGTGAAAAATAAAACCGAGACGATTGTAAGTAATGTAAAATTTGATATTTCTTTTCTTGTATTTTTGTTTTTTTTTTATTAACATTCTGTTGCCCGCAGCTCGAGTTGTTTATTGTTAGCTTTTCGGTTTACTGGTTTGACTCGGACCTTAATTTGTGACCCGTGCTGTTGCACTTATCTTTTAAAAGATGCGCTTCTCAATTTGCTAAATGCCACGAGTACTGTTCTCTTCTCAATTTAGATTTAGATTCGTAATGTAGTGAAATCATGACACGATGGTTTTTAGTTCCTCAAATCGTCTCTGCTGCTCATAATGTAATGCGAGGCATCTATGACATCTTCCTACATATTTTATATTTTGTGCTCGCAAACGGTCAAATAATATATTAGTTGTTATACTCAACTAGTAATGAGTACGAGCATCATTATCATTAGCAGCATCTGAGCATTGACTGTAAACAGAAAACAACGGCAGAAAAAAAGAAAAATAATAATAATACTAATAAAAAGATGGAAGAAAAAACCATTCAACATTCAAGCAGTCGCTTTATATGACTTTGACCTTGGTGTGCAATGTTTTTTTTTTTTAATTTCTCTATGCCCGCTACAGATTTACGATGACATTGATGCTAAAACCACAGAAGCTTCCTGCAGCTGGGACATGCCCAGGCATTGAGCATGCGACATGCACTCCAAAATTGTTAACAGTCTTCCAAAGCAAATGCGGTAAATTAATCATACGCACTGCGGTCCCGCTTTGCACGATGTAACGAGTTCAAATTTATTGGGTCACATCGAAATGCATTTCCTTATGAGCGACTTATGAAGCCTGCGCCTATGAAACTGAGTGCGCTATTTCCACTAATCACGTTGTTGGACTAGCAGCAGCAGCAGCAGCAGCAGCCGCAGCAGCAGCAGCCGCAGCAACAACAACAACAAGAAATGTAATAAAAAATATAATAAATACAAAAACAAGAACATCAACTAAGCAGCGCGTGGCGCAAAAAACAATTTCAAGGCCATTGACACAGCTGAGGCGAGAAGAGCGGGTAACAGAGGCTGGGGGAGAAGATAGAGAGACGGGCTGGTGGCGCAGAGACGGCTGGGGGTGCATGAAGGGCATTCGAGTGCATATTGAAGGAGCTTGGCTGCTGCGATAAACCAAGCAGTTGCCAGCCGCTTCTAGACTTAAACCCCCTCATAATGCCCGTCTCACTCTTCCTTAGTTTCTAACAAGTGTGCGACGAAGTGCAAATGTTTAGCTTCTCTTTAGCTACAATCAATATATAAATGTACACATACTGACGACTCACATGCCATATACATACTTATAGGCACACTGTGTCGCAATCTAAACAGTCGCAGTAAGAATGTAAGTGATATTGCAAGTACTATATATATTTGAAAATGTCTGAAGCTCCCATCATGCTTATGAATCGATCCCAAAGTTAATTGTGTAATTAAGTTAATTCAGGTATTTTTATATCTCAAATCAAACATTCGGTTTAATTTTAATAATTATATTTTTTATGTGTGCAACACTTTGACTAATGTCCAGACAAATAAACTGAAAGTTTTCCAATAATAAAAAAATGTATAAATTAATCAATTGTTGTGTTTGCTTTTGGCGTCGATGCAAAGTTGATTGAACTTGTAAAACGCGAAGCTTATTTAAAACATATACACATAGATACATATACAAACGCAACAGGAGAATCAGCAACCAGATCAGATGAATCCACAGCCAACGACATATAAACAATGTATCAGAAATAATTTGGTTAGCAGGTAAAATAAACAAATTAACCACAGAGTTCGATAAATGCTGAATTAACATGTATGCATTGTGTCTGTATTTATATACAATGGTTTTTTTTTACAAATAATATTGTTTTTGTCAATTTGGCGCTGCAAGAGTAATGATTAATTAATCATCAAATTATAAATGCAAATGATAGGAAGACAAATTAAACCAAGAACTGTGATGTATTTACTCAATTATAAGACGAGTAGATTTGAAAAAATAACTAATTAAATCGATGAACTTATTTATAACAAATGAATTCTGTGTTTTTACTGGTTGTGTGACAAATCTGCACACAGTCCGAAATAACTTGAACTTTATTCGTTTGGGTATATAAAATAAAATTGCATTCTTTATTGTGTAGTATTTAACTCGAATCTTCATGGAGGGGCATTTATAATACCAGTTGTGCTTCGTTGCTTTGTTCTTGCCCAGTTGCTACTTTTGTTGTTGTTGGAGTTGTTGGCGCTTTTTAAAAGCTATTCTTTACATTTTCGACAATCTTTATTAACACGCCAAAAATTCGCTTGAAAATCGTGGGTCTCAATTTGAGGAGAACTGGATGCTTAGATTCAGATTCAGATTCAGAACTTGAGAGAAGCTTCAGCTTGAGTATCAGTTAAAGGTAAGCCGTTGACTTTGGCATAATTTGCGTCATGCAGTTGTTGGTTGTTGGTTGTTGGTCGCAACCCCTGCCGGCTGCCTCTCTCATTTCATTTGCAATTTATTGAAACGAAGTTGACCTTGAATTTGGCTAAAGTCTTTTAATTTTATTTTCGCTTTCGGTTTTTGCTTGCGACTGCCCGTTTTTTTTTTCGTTTTTTCTTATTTTTTTGTGCTTAATGCGTCCGTCTGCTGATGATTCTTGCTGTTACTGTTGATTACTTTAACGATGATGTCCATAAAATGTATTTCATGCTTCAACATTTTCGGCAAGCTGTTGTTGCTGTACCAGTGCTACACAGACGTGGGCAACAGGTTTCAGAAAAGGAAAACAAACAAGAAGTAAACATACCCTTGCAGACTAGAGTTAATCTGTTGACATCTAAGTCTATGTATGTTTTAAAATATAAATATTTTACATTTGTGTAATTATATTCCATCAGACAGGAGTAACATGCATGCCTATGCCTATCGATCGATCCAATCACTTAAAAATTATCTCTCGGCCGATTGTTCCTGCAGTTATATGATACAGTGATTCGATCCAGTCGGCTCCCAGCAAGGCGGATATACGTCAAGTTCCAATGAGAAACTTTAAATACTGAGTACAACTTATTAAGAATTGATATACCTTATGAAGTCGTAGGCGTTTCCCACAATGTATTACAAATGTCACGACAAATTTATGGTACCCTCTACAGGAGAACACACAAAAAAAATAAAATAAATAAAAATCGAAACAAATTTATTTGTTGCATGTTGGTGCAACAAGTGTCAGATGTTTGGTCTATCCATAGACCAAATTCACTCAACATTGAAAATTTGGCCCAGTCGCATACTGTTGGAATGTTATTTCCCCACTCTCACAATTTGAATTTAATCAGTTGTTGCCCAACAAAACGGTGACGTTTTCAAATTGTATTTTTATTTTTGTTTTATATATATTTTATTTTTATTTTTTTTTGCTTTTCTATTTTGTTTGTCTCGCTTTCGGGTGACATTTCAGCTTGTGTTATTGCAGTGCAATGAACTGGCTTCTAGTTGATTATCATATGTAAATACATACATGCATACACACATCTATGTACATACATATATACAATTAGTTTATTCATATGTATTTGTTGTATAATGTTACTAGTGTGTATCGGCGTAGTTGTATAGAATTTTCTATTTATGGGGTTTGTTCAAAATGTTTGCTCATTTATTTGCGCGTTTCTTTATTTATCTGTTCAGGAGGTCATTGTCATGAAATATTTTCGTTCTCCTACTTATTTTTCGCTTCCACTGTGTAGAACACTTTTGAAAACTTTAAATTCTCTAGGCTGGTCAAATGGTCACAAGTGCATATCACAGTTTAGATATATTTACGTATTTCAAGATGTGCACCGTTTTTGCACACAGAAAAGATTTCAATATTTAACCATTACTTCCAATACTAAACCTGATCAGTTCAGTTGAAGCCAACATATCAAATATTACAAATATTTTATGTTATTGTTATTCTTCTTTTTATAATATAATTGTGTGTATTTAAAGTTGTGTAACGTTCCTTGCACACAAGTTTTCAATATTTAAGCTCTATACACAAAATTATTACGTACAAAACTAAAGCTGATCCATTCAGTTGCAATCAAATCAAATATTCAAAATCTACCAAATACGTCCATTTGAATGTGCTCGTTATTCTTCCTTTTGCTTGTTGTTGCTACTTTTGATCTCTTCGGGCTCGGTTACCTCCGCAGTTGTATGTTGGTCGAGTGTCACAGCACCGCCTTCATAACGGTATTCATTAACTTCATTACACAAACAGAAGTCGGGGAGATGTCCGCCATGATTCAATGGGGGCTTAAGCCCGCCGCCTGTGCATATTGGACAGCTGATTTTGGACATTGTGGCTTAGTGCTGACGAAATGTGGATCAGAAAAAAGGCAACAACTTACCCATACCCATCCTCAGCAGCCTGCGTCTGGTCTGGATAAATCTTGTTGTACAGGCACATCAACCGATGGGCGACAAAAAGGGCGGGAAGTAAAAGAAGCCCGCCCAAAAGCACACCAAACCATAAACTATTCTAAAATTATAAGAATGCAAAATAAAATAGAGATAATAAAATATATGAAATTGCTTAAAAATCATCCTTAAATTATAGGTTTTTACTTTCTACAAATAATTTCGAAATATACTAAATGGTCAAGTGAGCATGACTACGATGTACCCCAAACTCAGCTGTTAAATCTATTCTAGTTGTATTGTTATAATTTCTGTTTAAAAAGTTTTGCACACTCAAACAAAAATATAGCCTTGTCCGACTAATGTGTAGACATCTAAATTTTGACACGTATGTGAGTTCGAGATGGACATGTAAGTCGAGTGGACAAAAAATAATGTAGAAGGCAAGTTGAAAAAAAACGTAATTTAAAATCAATCTTGTTTTGAATATAAGCTAAGATATACTCGTATATAGATATTTCCTTAACATGCGATCTTATTTGAAATTTACATAAGGAAATGCTAAGAGTTATGTGGAATTAGAAGGGTATGTACTCACCAAGGGATCAACTATGCGATTGCAAAGCGTGTCTGAACTAGTGGAATAAGTAATAGCAATCGGTTCACAGTTGCCGACATTAGTCTTACTTTCTCTAATAACCATTCTTGAATAATCCGCAAATTGATCTTCCAAATGTTCAGGAATTTTCTTTCGCCATTCTGTATTGAGCGCTCGAGCTTTTTTTCGCATCTCCACCTCCGTCTTATAAGTATCATCGAATATTATTTTAAGACTTTCGCCAAATGGTTTTCTTTCGAATAAAATATACTCATCAATCTTCAATATATTTTCTGTAATCTTATTGATCAAATCTATTACTTTGATAGAGATCTCATCTTGGTATTTCTGTAGATTAAGAATCTCGTCATAAAGAGAAACTCTGGCCCAGTCATAAATGCCCCACTGAGTCCACAGACTGGAGCGCAATTCCTTTAATTGAGTGATTAAATTTGGCAATGCAACTGGTGTCACATCGGTGCACAAATTGTCCGTAAAATCTGTTCCCGTATAAGGGTTCAATTGACTTTTCCAAATCGGTTCTAATTCTTTCAGGAACCGACCGTTCGGATTTAAGCAATGCCAATCTTCAACTTTATAATCAAAAAACGGCGTTTTGGGTTCTTTATGTTCGCCCATGACCTTAATCTGCAATAGGTTATCAATATTATACAATCCATTCTCTTGGAGTAGCTCAATAATTGTCTGGTTGGCCCTGCACTCCGTTATTACTTTTGACATGGGTAACGTAGGCTCTTCTGATTCCGGTTCAGGATTGTTTTTAATCTGGAATTTAGTAAGATCAATTACGGCATTCAGCTGGCGGAACATCGCATTCCCTTGCTGATCCCTAAGCGGTGCACAGACACCCATGTACATGATAAGGCCTAAGATCAAATAAAATAGGCCAACCAGGATTACAAACGAGAATACGCAGAATATAAGGAAAATGCCGCTGCAAAGAAAATGGAAAAGCGATTGAAATCACTTAAAAACAAGAACGATCATCTGTCCTATCACACAAAAGATATAATATCCATATAAAATCAAGATCTTTATATTTTTTGATTCTGATATCGATGTGTTCGTATGGACGAACATGGCTATTATTATTGAATCTTATCTGCTACACAGATTTTGAAATATGGATGGATGTACTTTTCTTAATGGGTACAGTATATATAGGATTATACACCACGAATACCCACTAGAATGCGCTTACTCAGACTATTTTTAGATACCTACAGAAACATGCATTTGGCTCCTGAGACCTTGCTGCAGAACCCATCCCGATCGCCACGCCTAAGTCGTCCACAGCATCCACAAATGAGAGCAATGCCTAAGAGCAATAAAATCTGAAATTAAAAAGCTTATTGGGCGATCTGCTCCGGTCTTGTTTTATCTGGAAGTGCTTACGATCAACAAAAGGCCACACACAATGGCATTGATAATATTACGATGGGTATTATACTTTTCATATAGATCGGCAAACGATGTGCTCGATTTCTGACTGTTCTCATGAATGTCATTGACCACCTCATCGATGATGTTACGCAAGTTGTCTGCTTGTATTCGATAATGCTCTTTTCCATTCTCAACATCTTTGATTAATGGGTCCTTGAGCATGCTTACACCATAATTCCATCTAACTGCGGCCACATAATGGCCACAATAGTACATCATGCCTGAAGAGAAATAACCTCTTTTATTTTCGTTTTCTAGGACTTTGGAGTAAAAAGAGGCATCGGGTAGCTGTGATGGAGTAGAATGAGTTTAATTAAAAGCTTTCGATTTACCACTTCCACTCCTACCTTGTCAAAATGTAGACATTTGGAACTATCCAGATTGTGGACATCCGATGTTCTTAAGAACCGAAGACATTCTTCGTTTCCGCAGAGTACAGTACACGCGTAAATTATGTCACGCTTTACGGTGCGTAGGCCTAATAAACATGAACAGAAGGTGAGGGCTTATTATTAAATTGAAAGAATAAAATGTTTACCATCTCGAAGTTGTCCGCCATAAAAAAGTAGATCCTTTTGCCAAAATTTCACTTCCCTCATTAGCCTATCTGCCTCTTTCAAATTAATAAATATGGCTGATAAATTTTTTTTTGGATCACGCTTAACATTATTGTAGGTTGCATCGTACATGATAAAATTAATTCCTGTGGAAAAACCAATTGAGAACTGTGCAGCCGGATGCAACCGACTGCGGAATTCTCTGATCTCTGATCAGTGAAAGAGACTATCAGTCTGTCATACAAGTTTCGTGATTCTAGCTCTTGTATTATCGGAGATGATATATATTTATATCTTATAACTATGTTTTCATTTGAGCCGAACTGAAATCATCGGCATGCAACATCGCGGTCATACCCATACATGGGTAACTAAATATCGGGACGCTGCAGAATAGAGACATATTTGATAATGTAGCTTTTATAGCCATTGGGATCTGACAATTCGTGACGGGTAGATGCATAGACGGACAGATAGGTAGGCAAGACTGGATCGACTCGGATGTTGATTCTGATCAGGATTGTATATACTTTATGGGATCGGAGATGCTTCCTTCTGTTCGTAAAATAGTTCTGCCCCATATCATTATACCAAATTTACCCAGTTTAAATATAGCAGTAGGTGGGGTAGAGAATTCAGTCGGATTAGATTGCATACTTTGAATGACATCAGTTAAATGAGCAAGCAGTTCTTCATAGTTAAATACAAGCAAGTGGTAAATGTGGTCCGAAACATCTTTTAGGTACTTGCAGGTATTTTCGGTGCCCCGTCTCATGATATTGGCAGAGTCTTTAAGACCATGATCCAACATTATATTGCTTTGAAAACCAATGATGGCAGTAAAGCTACGATAATTATAATTACAACGTTGCACCTAGTAAGAGGTTTATTTCACCTACAGAATGCCAATAAGGAGCACTGAGAGAATAAAACCATAGCCGCAGCGTGCACGATTGTCCTTGGGCAAATCACAGGGTGGACATCCTTTGGAACATCGATAGTGGTTGAAGCAATAATAACAAACGCTGTCAATAGTGTGGTAATAATAGATATTATTAATATTTGAGCTCCTGCCACAAGATCTTAACAAGTTGCATATATAAAATGAGTTTTAAAACGATCTACTACTCAATAATGTAATTATTATACAATTTATAATAATATAATAACCGAAACTTTTGCTGTGTAAATGATATCATTGTGTATGATTCTACTCACGCTATGAAGGGCATAATAATTATGAGGAAGAGCAGAGCAATTACACAAATGGTGAACACCCAGTAATGCGCCAAAAGATTCTTCCAGTCATTCTTCTCAATCTTAGGTCCAAGGCGAAGCCCATCTGAGCCAATTTCCTTGACAATATAGCCTAGAACAAAATTTTCGATTATGTAACCGGCCAATGAATGTTTCGATATTGCTCACCATGCGGTAGTACAGAAGCACCTGGTATGAGAGTATCGAATAGGAAATGAGTCACTTTGTGCACGAAATCCACTGTGGTAGTGGGGTACAATGGCTCTTTTATATATTCCACTTCCGATTCGTACTTGGTGTACTCAGTATAAGGATAAATTTCAGCTGCTTCCTTGTTTCTTTGAGACACTGCTTTTTCCTTTTCTCCGTTGTCAGCGTAAGTTGGCCATATTAAAAGGCTGAAACAAAATATTAGCAAATCGGCGATTCTAAGCTTTTTTGAGAGTCTTTTGAAGGGCATCGCCTTGGACTTCTCAGAATGATCGGCTAGGTGCTTGAAGAATTCTAGTCTCATTATATTTCTGTTTCTTTAGACTTATTACCTGATTTTTTTACGTATATAAAAGAGGTGACGCAAAAGTTTATGTCATCTAGATTGGATGTAGAAACGTATGACATATGACAACTATATAAAAAATTCTCAGACATCTACTTTTAGAATGTCAGTTTTTATTTGCCTTGTAATTGTATATATTTAAAGTTGTGTAACGTTCCTTGCACACAAGTTTTCAATATTTAAGCTCTATACACAAAATTATTACATATAAAACTAAAGCTGATCAATTCAGTTGCAATCAAATCAAATATTCAAAATCTACCAAATACGTCCATTTGAATGTGCTCGTTATTCTTCCTTTTGCTTGTTGTTGCTACTTTTGATCTCTTCGGGCTCGGTTACCTCCGCAGTTGTATGTTGGTCGAGTGTCACAGCACCGCCTTCATAACGGTATTCATTAACTTCATTACACAAACAGAAGTCGGGGAGATGTCCGCCATGATTCAATGGGGGCTTAAGCCCGCCGCCTGTGCATATTGGACAGCTGATTTTGGACATTGTGGCTTAGTGCTGACGAAATGTGGATCAGAAAAAAGGCAACAACTTACCCATACCCATCCTCAGCAGCTGGCGTCTGGTCTGGATAAATCTTGTTGTACAGGCACATCAACCGATGGGCGACAAAAAGGGCGGGAAGTAAAAGAAGCCCGCCCAAAAGCACCAAACCATAAATATACAATAATAAATATTTTGTTGTGATCGGTATTATTTCCCAAAGTGGTTGGGAACAGAGGAGAAGTTTAAAACCTGGAAAATAATTTATTTCTTCCTTGGATGTGACTACTGTTTTGGTTTGAGTGTTATTTTATTCGTCACCTTTATGTTGGATTCACCCAACTTATTGTGTTCAACGAATTACAAAGGAAGCAACTCGCTGGTCATTCAAATTCAAACAAAAATAACCTCATTATCATAAATACCAATAATTTGTGGGCTTACTAATACGTACATCACACGTGCATTATAGACCGTAGGCATAAGTATCTGACATATACAAGCTTATAATAATTGTCATTCCGCGGATGACTTGACGTGTCCTCATCATCAACATCAGCATTAAGTCGCCAATGATTAATTTTTATCTTTGTTGTGTGAAAATAGCATCTGTTGCGCCAATGACCGCACAGACGGTCAAAAGAGGCGGCCAGCCAGCCGGCGGCCAGTCGTCTGATTTCCCATCTGGAGAACTGACCAAGCAACCACCCAGCCAGCCAACATCCCACCCACACAAAATAACGCAATAAGCCTCAATTAAATGAAAATTTATTGTAGGCTACGCTGTCAGCTGTCTCCAAGTTTGTATACATACATTGATCTCATTTAAATATGTAGTATATTGACAATTGCGCATGCACATCTACAGGAATGCTTCTTATCATGTCTTCCATTTCTATATTTATTTAAAACGAGAAAAAAAGATGTCTCAGTATAGTTATTATTTAATAGATGATCTACTTTGGGACTACGGTAAAAAATAAAATACATAAATATAATTGAGATGATTACGTTTCAGTATTATTTTTTTTAACAATCAAAATTGTGAAAATACATTTTCATCTTTTTGTCATAATTACCAGCATAGAATTTAACTGCATATCTAAATTATTTTGGATTTTCGAGTATCTATTTGGTATTTGTATTACATCACTTAATATTTAAATATTATATTGACTGATATTTTTAATTATTTAATTAAGTATACCTAACACAAGTTACTTCCCTCTATTTGTGTGTTATATTTTTGATAAATCTTAACAATTTTTGTATAATTATTAAAACTAAACTTTTCGTTGAAATGGCAATGCTAGAATCAACACTTTTTATTATGATTATTATGCATATAACTTATATGGCATGTGCCTAAAACGGGGAGGGATGATACACTATTTGCAGGATGCCAACCGTTTCCACCACTTGACATAGGTTATCATTGTCGAAAGCAGCACCAACAACAACATCAAAAATGTCAAGTTCATCTATTCGTATTTGTTTGAGCCGTTTGCAAGGCTCTTGTTATTATTACAGGCGACCCACATTGATTTACATATTTGTGTACATATCCCACACATGGACACAGTCACATACGCTTGTATAAACCAATATGGTTAGAGCTGATGTTAAGTAACGAAATCCAGCCTCAAACAAGGCAATCTGTTTGCTTTGGCCAAACGCACATAGCCGGCAAATGTTTGGCAATGACTCAGCAGAAGAGCAGGCCATATAAATGTTGGCCATAGCATAAAGTATCCTTAAATTCGAGTTCGATAACATGTGTGTGTGTGTGTGTATGTTTGAGTGTGTGATGCGAGCTAACGAGTGAATCCGAATGTGCTCTGAGTGTGTGCACTTGACCAGACAGCTCTTATTGAATTTAGCACAGTCTGTTTGCCCGGTCCAAAGACATCCAAACCGGTTCTGAGCAGGCCATTCAGATACTACCTATATGAATGTGTGTGTGTGTGTATGTGTGTGTTACAGTGTGCGATTGCGATCGCATCTAATATCAAGTTCAAGGTCACTGTACACGTGTACACCTATATATTATAAACAAATTGCATTCATAAGAGCGGTCTTCCTCTCTCACTGTTTCTGTCTTACTCTTTGACTGTAATTGCTGGATGTTAAACGTAGTTGTCAGTTTCATTTAATGAGTTAGCCAGATAAAGCTTAGGTTCTCACGATTGCACTCACACACATATACTGCGGCTGTAAAATAATGTAGAAAATGTAATGATGAAGTATACGCCCTGTCTTAGAACGAATTGCGACACATCAACAAGCAACAGGTGAGTAATGCTGCAATTCGTTTGCCGGTAATTGGAAGCTGCATATTCTATGTCGGCTTGGTACCAGCCCGTTCCAAAATGACTCAGTTGCTTTTCCAGCGAAGTCGAGACTCTAAACAGAAACAAAGGAAATTAACACCAAACAAGGCGTTTGTGTTTCGAATTACACATACGCACCGTATTACGCTATCGTTCCAGTTTTGTTCTAGGGAATGATTTCAAGCAAATGTAAAACTTTTACACACCCGACACTTACACGCAATTTCATTTCAACCACAGCATGAATAGGGAATGAATGATAAATGTTACCAACCATTTGTAAGACACAAAATTCATAAAATACATTTTTCAACACAGGCAGTCGGCAAATATTCATTTGACTTGTGTATGGCAACAATTTGGCAGTCGTCAGCAGTTATATTTGCACAGCAGCTATACAAATTTATTTACACATGTCTGTTTTCAAATGTTTGTAACTTTAACTGTTAACTTTCGGACCCTTTCTAACACCCTGTACCCATTACAAATGCGTCAATAAGGCTATGAATAAAGTTGTGTAAACTGTGTAATATGCAGAAGGAAGTCTTTTTGACGTCTGTATATTATTGATCAGCATTATGTGTTGAGAAGGGCTAGCCATGTCCGTCTATATGAATGCGCCAATATCAGAGATTTCAGTGTGTCGAGGAGAAAATATTTGGAATACATTCCTACTGGTTGGTGGCTACTTATAGATTTTCTTAAGAAGTAACCTCAATTTGAGAATGCAGAAAGATAGAATTCGTGTTTTCATTGATTTAATATATTTATTAGCTGAGTACGCGGTATCCCCAAGTTGGAAATTACTCACTAGATCATTCTCACTTGTTTTGTGATGTGCTCTTCCAATTTTTACATTTAAAAATACTTTATATGCACAACACAAAAATGCAACAGATGAAAATGTTGAACAAACTACTTACTAATATAAATACATTAAAATAATAATATATTTTGACTTTAAAAAAATGAAGCTTCCACTTTTCCACTTAAGTTCATTTACATTTCTTACGAAGTTAATAATTTAACACATAAATGTCTAAATATATGTTTAAAATGTATATGTAAAAGTTGTTTATATTTTTAAAATAAAATATGCTTAGGCAAACATAAACAACTTTTACACGAATTAATTTATTTTACTTTTCATCCCCTTTTTGGATAGTTAGACATAGATGTATATTATTAGAATATTTATGCTATTCTTATGGTTTTAGTTTGCTAAAAACTGAAAGTTCTAAACTGCAACAGACAGTTTCCGATTATGCAAATATTTCCGGAATGGGAAAAACATTTTCAAAATACCGCTGACTAAAAACCAATTGCACATTTATCTTTGTCTATGTGAGTTATGTACATGTATATGCATATTTAAATATCATAGTTCAACTTTGACCTCAAATATTTCGTCAAATATGCAGTGCTTTTGAAAATAAAACACGAGATGCTCTAGAAATTTAATTATTAAATATATATATAGGCGATAATATACTCTTATAATTTATTTATATTTTGTTATCCAGATTAATTTAATTTCTATAGATATTTCCAATGAAAGCAATTAAATAAGTGATAAAATCAAGCCGATGACTGCTTGCTATTGTTTCCAGATTTATTCAGCTTAAAACCTAGCTAGATTTGAAAATAAACGCGTTTTCTGATCGTCATGATATCCCCTTTGACAGCTGCAATGTGTTGCTGTTGTTTGGAATGTTTGTTTGCTTTTGGGTTGGTTGCTGTTTTCAGTTCGCTTACAATGCGAATATTTTCACCAGCCACACATACACACACACAGAGAGAGAGAGAGAGAGAGTTGCTCACTTGTATGGGTGACCATGAAATATTCACACAACGAACGCTTCCACTCAGCCGCTTCCAGTCTCTTTGTGGACCTGGCTGCGACGCAGATTGACGCTTCATTACAACCGCGTTATGCAATCCGGGCCCAGAGCAGAGCGTAGCAGACACCGAGCACATTGACAAAGGCTTGCTGCTGCTTCACATTGTGTATGTGTGTGTATCTGTGTGTGTGTGCATCTGTATGTGTGGGTGTATGCATCTGTATGTGTGTGTGTGTGTGTATGCGAGAGAGATAATTTGACGATGAGGCGTGCTAACATGTACCAGCGGCCTGGCTCTGTGTTC